CAACGCCATTGCTCTGGCTGCAGTGAACTCTTATAAAAATGTTCCACGGTGTGGATGTTTCTTACACTGGCACTTTCCAAATTTCCTCTTCCACACTCTTCCCTACGCTGGTGACCTTCAACCCCGGGGAGTCATGGTGATTCGGCCGGGAGCCTTTAACTGCGACAGCCGCGCCCCTCCCTCAGAATCCTGATTCAGCGGGAGAAGGGGGCGGCAGGGACTTTGACGTGAAATTGTTTAAGCTCCAAGGTAACTGTAATGTGTGGTCGGTCTGAGTCTGGAAGCACTGTCCGCCTTCTGGCCAGCGCAGGCAGACAAATGACACCCAGATCCTCCCTCCTCCCCCACAGCTGGGCCGACGGGGTCCGAGCAGAAGCCAGCCAACCCTCTCACCCACTCAGGAGCAGGCTGGGCAGGCGGGCTCTGCCCGAGAAAGGTAAGCCCGAGTGGCTCTTACTGGCTCCCACGGGTTGTTACGTGGTAACGTGCAGCTCTGACACTGGTAGCTTGCGGTCGGCCACAGTGGGAGGTATTTACACCTGGCAATTGGCAGACGCTACAATCCAGGCTCTTGGCTTCTCCGACCCCCCCCCCCCCCCACAGCAGGTTTCTCTACTGTGGGGCTCGGGACCTGCTACGTTGGAGGAGCTAGAAACAGAAACCTCTGTCTTCCACGCAGGCCTGCAGACGTGAGGAGGCGTCCAAGTTCTGAAGCGCGGGGGCAGGCTTTTCCTAGACTGCACAGACTAGGGCAAGGGGGAAGAGGGAGAGAGAGAGGACAGGATGATGTATAAGAATCCGGAACCACAAAATCGGTTTTGCAGAAAGGATCCTTTTTGCTCAGTTCAGAAGAGCCGGGCTAACCGGCTTTCGCCAAGTTCCAGGACACCAGCCTTTATCAAGCAGATAAGAATAATCTCCCCGACGTCAGCTCTGAGGCTGCGGAGGGGAAGGTGGAAACCTTATCTTACGTTTACTGAACCGCCTTCCCACAATTTTAATCTTATTCCAGTGACCTCATCTGCCCAGAATACCTTCCCCGGTGCCTGGTGCTGGGTTATCTCCACTTCCAAACCACAGTCTCCCCAATAAATCCACGTGCACCCCAAAGACAGGACAAGGGTACCAGCCCCGGTGCCCCCGGCAGCCGGGGGACACAGGTGCACACCAGCTGGCTTCTCTTCGGGCTGAAAAGATTTCATGGGTGTTAAAGATTTCTGAAGCTTTTTTGTCACGGTGTAAGGAGGCAGGCAGCTTCCTGCCTTGATGCTACCAAAATGTGAGCCCGAGGTCATTTGTTTAATTTCTGCTCCCTTAGGGACATCAGGGCGGAGACCAAGGTGGGCATGGGCACGTCCAGGTTCGAGTCCCAGCTCAAGCGCTTGCTGCCTGAGCTGTCACACTGGAGAAGCGACTTCAATTCTCATAGTTTTGGTGAGGATTTTCAAGTGCACATGCAGGGCCTGACACGTGGTAAGCCCTCGGCCAGTGCCACTGATTTCTTCTCCCTGAAACACCCCAAATCTTCATTCACATTAGGCTACCTCAGCCCACCGCTCTCTCCCTTGAATCTGCAGGCGCCTACTGCCGGTTCCGGAAGGTCTTGGTTCGCCCGACGGCCCCAAGGCTGCAGGCCCACGGTATGGGACTCCACCTTTCCCTCCCTGAAACACACCGCGCACACCCTCGGTTTCTCAAACGGCGCCTGCACCCCTTTATCTTCTCCTAAAGGCTGACGGTCAGCATCCTGCCCCGTGGGCCGCCCACCGGTCCTGCCCCACCGGGCGCTGCTGCGCACGGAACAGGGCGGTCCTCGGGCCCAGGGAAGATCCCGACTAAGTAGACCCTGGGCTGTCCCCTGGGTGTGTGGGGGCTGGAATGACTGTCCTGTCACTGCTCCAGAGGGTGGTGGCAGAACATGGGGCTTCCGCTGTGCGAACAGCCAAGGGACCAGGAGACCTGGCTCCGCGGGCAGCCGGGTGTGAACCCCGGGCGGGCCGGGGCCAAGCCGGCCTGCGCGCAGTCTGCAAAGCCGATCTCCCAGCTCGGACGGCCACCTCTCCCAGCCCCTGGTGGTCAGGCGGCGCCCTGCGGACAGAGAAGTCCTAGTGCCCATCTCCAGGGCCTTCGGAAATAAAATATCCCGGGGCCCGACTCCAGTTCTCAGAAGAAAAATGGCAACGCGGCCCAATTCGGGTGTCAAATTTGAACACAACAAAGCCAAGGGAAACCCACATGGCTGGCCCCAGGCCCACTGGCTGAACAGCCTCCTCTACCCCCTGAAAACAAGGCGAGCGCCTCCAACAGGGAGGCAGGGAGGCCTGCCCCAGCCGGGGTGAGGTCACCAGGGGTGAGCCGGAGGCTCTTCCTCCTGTTTGAGTCCAGGGCTCCCTAAGAAGCTGGGGGGAGGCGGGGCCTCCTCCCCAGTAGGCTCCCACACCTAACTGGCCGCGATCCAAGGCTTAAAACCCCACGCACATTAGCATATCTTATTATCAGGCTAGAAACCCACATTAGAATAAGAAAGAAGCCTGTTCCAGCAGCCTGCAGGAAAACAGTTCCTGGCGGCCGGGAACCGGCAGGCAAGTTCACAAACAGCAGCAAAGGAGAAAAGGCGGCCGGCGGCCCCCTCCTCCCAACACCGGGCTCAGGAAGAGCCCCACGCCAGACAGGGAGCCCGCCAAGGCCCCTTATCAGCGACTCGTCCAGCCCCCTTTCTGGGCGCCCCCCCGGAAACCCCCCCCTCCGTGTCTGGGCTGGGACCAGCTACTGGACTTGGGGCAGATCAAAGTGTTGGTGGGAGCGACAATAAAAAAAAAAAAATGAAACTATCGGATGACAGACCGGAGCAGGGAGAGGGCCAGAAAGAGGATCTTCCCCCTCGCGGCGGTTTCGGTTCTGGGGGAACAAAGGCCAACCTGTGCGGCCCGGCCCCCCGCTCCGGCCTTCCAGAGCTGAAATCAACTCAGGGGCTGCGCGTCTTCTCATTGTTTTTCGAAGGTTCTTAAGGTGGGGTGCCGCGGGCTTGGGGCAGCAGGAAACACACTGGCGCTTGCAGAAGCTTCTCCCTCGAGGCCCACCGAGCCGGTCATTGTTCCCGTGGCAAACAAGGGAGCCGGCACGCAGACCCCCCGCGAGCCAGGTCTGTGCACGGCGCCCCTCTCCTGGAGCTCGCCGCTCCCTCCCGGGTCAGCGTGGCCTCGGTCTCCGCAGCGGCAGGCCGCGGCTGGACACGCATCAGGCCTGTGCAACTTGGGGCCTGCGTTAATATTGATGCCCCCTGACCGCTCCGCCTCTGCCCAGACTCGGAAGGCAGAGCAGAGGAGGGTTTGGGCACACTGTCTCCGTCCACAGCCCCCGGTTTCTGGGGGACATGGCCTGGACAGGCTGTCCTGAGCAGGGGACCAGGGCTGTCCCCCAGGCAGGCTCCAGCAGACATTTCTGGAGCCTGTCTCCCGGTCGGGGTGGCCAGGTGGGAGGCCGCCCGTTTTGCTGGGTGACCACAGAAACAGCGAGCACAGTGCTCCCTCGTCCCTTAAAGTACAGCCGCTGTCCGCCCAAGGTGGCAATACGCTTTGCAAACCACCCATTAATTTTTATGGTGGCCTGAAAAGCAGATTGAGAAGCATTGCCTTCATTTTCACAAGGCAAGGGGCCAAAACCACAGGGGAGGGGGGAGAGGCACGGAGCCAGCCCTGCCTGAGCCAGGGTCTGAGCTGACCGCTCCCCACTCTCTCTCTCCACCTCGGGCCTACGGAAGGCACGGAACACACCACCCACCGGAAAGGGGGCTGGCACCTGCTGAGAGGGAAACCAGGCCCATAAACCCAAACTCGGGTGCTCAGAGATGATCCCACTTTGATGGGTGGGGAGGGGAGAGCGGCAGAAAGAGATTACTTTTGCTTCAGGCTAGAGGCTCTGGCGGCCACTTAATGAAATTTGCAAGCGTGGGGCCCCAAGAAAGATGAATAAATATCAAAGGCCATAGGAATTGCAGGATCAGTGATGGCTGGTTTCTGTTTTATGTCCCTACTTCCACGTTTTCCGCCCAGAGCACAGATTATTGTTTTGGCGATCAGAACAAAAGTTACACTAACTTATTACTGCTGATAAGCAGACAGCCCCGGGCTGCTGCCCTAACTTGGAAAGAATCACCCGAATAAAAGCCTGCCCAGTGTGCAGGTAGAGAGAGAGCCGGCTGCTCCTCGCCCAACCCACACCCCGGGGAAGGGCCAGGACAGCCGGGACCCCAGGCTGCAGGGCCAGCCCCACTGCAGGTGGGAGCCACAGGACCCCAAGGCTGGGACCCTACGGACCACGGATCTCGCTGCGGAGCGGGCTTCCGGGGAAACATCCCTTAGAGAACAAGGTGCCTCTCACCGCCGTCCCCACCCGCCGGCCGCTGGCACTGTCACCTCGCGGCCGCTCGGTCACCGCACGACTAAGCCAGAAACCCGGGTTTTCATTTCCATCCAAAAGAGAGGGACCTCCTAAACGGAAATATGCATTGTCACCAACAAGTTTAACCCGGGACCACGCGCCCTTCCCTCCACCCGGGGGCCGCGTGAGGGGGCGCCCCGGACCCTCCAGCCCTCCGGGCGCCCCACGGCTGCGGGAGGCGAGTGATCTCCCCCCCATACTCGTGCCCCGTTGTCGATGTGGGCCACCCCACACGGCCGCCCGGGGAAGCGCCAGGGCCGGGAGAGCGGGGATCTGCCGGGCTCAGGCAAGGGCTCTGAGTACGGCTCGGCACCGGAACCCCTGCCCTCCCGCCTGCGCGGGTGACCGGGAAGACTGGGGAAGTCGCAAGGGGCGCGCGAGGTTTCCCGAAGCCGCCGGCCGCCAGCCGCGCCGAGGCACCCCGGACCCCGAACTCAGGCGGCGGGGAAACGAACGATCGGCGTTTGAGAGGTGCCGAGCACGGGCAGGCACCGCGGGAGCGAGGCCGGGCACGGGGCTGGAGCGCTGGCCGGGGACCGGCCGGCGCGCCGGCTACCTACCTGGCTCGCATCGCGTCCCACCGGCTCCTGCGACTCTCCTCTCGGTCTGGGAACTCTCCCGGCCGGGGGCGCGCGCGGCTCCGCGGGAATCACCGCGCGGCGGCGACGACGAGGGGCCGGGACTCGGAGAGTGCCCCGAGCGCTCGGCCCCCGCGTCGGCGGGGGGAAGGAGGTCCCCTCGCTGGGGCGGGGCTCGGGGGCGGGGGCAGACCTCGCTAGGCGGTGACCGGAGCGGGAATCGCGGGAGCCGGCGGCAGGGGTGGTCTCCGCGCCTGGGCGGGGTCTAAGGGGCGGGGCGGAGCGGGGGCCTCGCTGGAGCTGGGTGTGGACGGAGCCGAGCGGGGGGCGGGGCGATCGCAGAGGGGCGGGCGGAGCCGAGGCTGCCCGGAGGCCGGGGGCGGGGTCGAGCTGCAGTCGCCGGGAGGCCGGAGGCGGGGCGTGTTACCAGGAGCTAAGCCGTGGCACTTTGCCCGGGGAGGGGGGTGGGGGAGCGGTTGGCGCCGGGTCTCGAGAGTCCCGCGGGATCCCGCCTCGGCGCCTCATTCCTTTCCCTTCCCGGCGCCGGCCATGGAGCGGGCCGGCTCCCGGACGCAGGGCGTCCCCGGGATCGTTGTCCCTGGTACTGGGCGCGTCTAGATGCGGCTGTTTCATGGAGACCTTTTGGCCGAGCTCCTGTGCCTGTGGCATCCCCATCCACTCACCTCTTCTCCGGGGTCCCCTGGGTGAGGTTCGGGTCCCCGAGCGGGCGTCAGCCGGGCCCCGGAGGGTAGAATCTAATGAAAAGAACACTTACAACGCTCTTGTCGAGAACCCTGCAAGGCAAACGCAAAGTTGAAAAGTCAGAACAAGAAAAAAGGCAGACACGTTGAATATTACAAAGGAGAACTTCCTGCCGAGCAAGATGCAAATGGCATACCTAGCCTCACGACCTTTTACACTTGGTATGGCCCCTGCCCCACTGGGTCCCCCCAGGAACTTGCCTCGCACGTCACAGGCGTGCAATAAATGCCGGGTAAATGAATCCAGTTACTGTGTGGTCGGCACTTTCCGTGGACGGGCCCACTTTATCCTCAGCAAATCCCACCCTCGGCTAGTCCCATTAGGCCGTTCACACAGGACTAGACTGAGGCTTGGAGGGTTGGTTTTGACCCAGCAAAGTGGTGGGCAGAATTTGACCCCAGGCCCCCCGGGAGGCTGGACTCTATCGCACACTGAGTGTCCCCCCCAACCCCCATCCCCACCCCAGGACTGCGGCCCCCCTGCGAGGCAGAAACCGGAAGAAGACTCCTGTCTTCAGGGAGAAGAAAAGCTAACAGTTATTTCCAGTCCAGAGCTAGACGCCCTTTAAGCTATTCCACACCTTACCTCGAGAGGCAGATATTATAATTCACATTTGATAGGTGACTTTAGACCTTAGGTTCCTTATCAGGATCGCAGGGGACGCGGGAATCTAAACTCAAACCCATACTTTGGGCTCCCTCTGCCTGGGAGACGGGCCTCCCTTTGCCTAGGGAATCTGGCTCCTGCCTCTGGACCTGAAGTCCGTGTGATTTTCAGGAGACACGGGGACTGGAAGGGTGGAGATCCGTGTTCTGATGTTGGTGTTATCGACGTGTGGACCTTTGAGTTCCTGAAAATGGATATAATGAGCCCTGCTGCCCTAAAAATAAAAGGACCTTTCAAAGTGAGAGGCAGCAAGCATGTCTTTGAGATCAATAGCCATGCGGGGCCGGGCTGCCTCAGACGGAAGCCCGGACGGTGCTCCGCTCAGGAGCCAAAGACAAGGGGTGTTCACGAGAAAAGGAGGGGGAGCAGTTCCATCCACACAGGGAAGGTACTTCCAGGGGTGCACGTAACATAACACGGCGATGTTCATTCTCAACGGTTTTTTTTTAAATTGTCAGTCCCGCAGCCATCAGTCCCAGAGTTGTAACAACTACTTCCTTTGTATCTTTGCCAACAATTCATTGGGACATGGCGTTGCCTCCAGCCCCGTGCAAAGGTTATTTCGCCCTGTTCTCATATCTGAAGATGTGAGACAGGAGCCAGGCGAGGCCGTTCCCCTGCCCTGGCAGCTCCGCTCCACTTTGCAGCGGCTCCGGTGCCATTGTTTGCACAGCCCTCCAGTGCCTGCTGCAGATTCTTAAAGCGGGGGGGGGGCAGGTGGAAAAGCAGGTGGAGAAGGAGAGTGTCTAGGGACATATGGAGGCCCCGGGGGTCCTCGGTGGCCCAGGGACTCATGAGGAACCCTGAGGCGGGGAGCCAGCTTGCTGGGCCGGCCTCTCTGGCATGCTCTCCTGGCTCTCTGTGACTCGGTTTCCTGGGGGGGTGGGGGGAGAGGCTGAAGAATGAGTGCGGCATGCGAGGCGCTGAGCAGAGGGCCCGGCACAGACCGGCGTTCAATAAGCTTGAGCTGCTCACATGGCTGCTGTTCCCAATGACGAACGTCCTCACTGTGTGATTTTTTTAAAACGCCGGTACCGCGTGGCAGAAGATAAGCTGGTAGAAAACGGACAAAGGGACGAAAAAGCAATCCCCAGGGGCACCGCGTGTGGCCCAGCGCACGGCAGCGCCACGGCACCTGCTGCAGAGAGCAAGGGCAAAGCGCAGAGACAGTCCGGTAGAGACAGAGCCCCGTGCGGGGAAAGCTGCGTCCGCAGAGACAGGGAGGAAGAGACCCGAAAATCACACAAACGGCCCAGCGTGCGGAAGCGCAGGACGCAGGGAACAGACGGAGCTGCCACCAGGTGTGAAGGGGGCAGGTGGGCAGAGAGCGTGCTTTGTGATGTCCGCCGTCATGGGAACAGCGCCAGGTGTGGAGGTGCCCTGGGCCCTCCTCGCAGCACAGGGGGTGACGGAGGTCGGAATGTTTAAAGAGAGCAGCGAAAAGGGGGCACCAACCTCTACCTTATTCTCTTGCTGGGACAGCTCGGGGACACCGGGGGCTGGGAAGGCTGGGGGACGCCCGGCCGGTTGCGGTGCAAGTCGTTCACGGTCTGTTCTGCCTTCCGTGCCCTGGAAGGGCAAGGAGGCCTCGAGACCTTGCCCCTGCTGAACTCACCTTTCTCGTCATCCCACCAGTTTTCACCACTTTCCCCTTCCAAAGACAGGAGGGAAGGAAACACATGCGCTCCTCAGAACATGCGGTTACTCAGGAAGCACGCCTGCTGGCAACGTGCACCTTGGTTTCTTAGGTACAAAAACAATGCAGGTTCTTTCCAAGTGATTCAAATGGTGGGAGAAATGTGCAGAGGAATAAGTAAGCATCCACCCCCCATCTCATACCCTCTCACAAGATCCTGTGCTTAACAGTGTGTTATATGTCTGTCTGAACCCTTTTTCTTAGCATTTAGGTTTAGCGTATGTGGAATACGGAATACATGTGCATGACATGAGTGTATATATCTACACATACGTACACACACATGCACAGATCAAAGAGAAAGACAGAGCGTGGTGGGGTCTGAAACCAGGCTGCCTGGGTGCAAGCCGGCCCCACCGTTAAAGGCCAGGCGTGTTCTCACCTGGAGACGGGCGCCATATTTGCGAGGACGGCGTGAGATGACGCCTGCAGATTGCTCAGTGCGGTGCGGAGCACGCAGTGCATACGCTGTTTGTAAGTATGACCTGTGGTCATTATTATTTATATACGCGCACACACACACCCCGATAAGTTACTCTTCGGTTCACATAAAACCCAAGACAACGGTCCTCGTTTCATATGAGCTATACACCAACATGCCTGCTCACCAGCCACTGCAGCTGGCCAGGGGCTGAGCACGTGGCCCCGGGGGAACAGGGTTGGCGAGGCCGTCGAGGAGCGTGGACCGCCGACGTCACGGGCTCCACTCGCCCCATCTCGCCATCAGCGTGGGCTCCCCTCCAGCGGCTCCACTCCACGCGCAGGAAAGACTGACATCTTCAGAAGTCCCCCGTGCTCAGGAAGCAAAACGACCGGGAAGTCAGAGGACGGCGGGGGGAGGGGGGTTTGGACTGTCAACGTGTCACCTCTGTTATAAAAATCGGCAGTCGTTGAAGTGTAATCCACACCACTCATGATTCATTCTAGAAGCTTCTCAGAATAGACACAACACTCCCAGAAATAGCAGCTCAGACGGGAATCTGTCTCCACGGACCGCATACTGTCCAAAGCTGCTAATGTGTTATAGCATTTTGGACACCTACAAGATACATTCCGCATCGGGAAGTAACTACTCAGAAACCTCATGCGGGCTCCTCGTAAAGGGATCTCTCGGCGTGCAAGGGCATTCTCGGCAAGAAAATAGAAAGAAAAATGTTCCTTTGGTCAAGTGACATCAGTAATCAGGCCACAATGCGCACATCGGGGGTGGGAGCAATAGAAGAAGATAAAAAACACAGCTAAGGGAGAGGGGGGAGCTAAGTTAAAGCCAAACAAGCAGATGGGCTGGATCATCTGTGAAGGCCTCCCAAGTCCCAGGATTCCAGATCCACTGGTTCACGGAGCACGTCCTGTGCAAGCGCTGGCAGGGTCTGCGCGGTGTCCCCGCAGTGCCTGGGCTGAAGCCCTCACCCCCAGTGCGACTGCGTTTGGAGGCGGGCCTTTAGAGAGGTGCTTGGGGTTAAATGAGGTCATAGGAGGGGGCCCTCAGGCCGCGGGATTGGTGCCCTCGGGACGCCAGAGAGCTCTGTCTGCACCAGCAGAGGGCCGGCCACGTGGGGGCGCTGCGGGAGGAGGCTGTCTGCTGTCTGCAAGCCAGAGAGGAGAGCTCTCCCCAGAAACCAAGCGCTCTGGTCCCTTGGTCTTGGACTTGCAACCTCTGCAACGGTGAGAAAACCCACGTGCATCGGTTAAGCCCCCCGGTCTACGGCAGCCCTAGAACGCGTCTACGTGTCTGGCAGTGTCACAGCCCCAAGACATAGAGGACTGTTCCCGCAGGATTGAAAACCAGGCAGAAGACACAGACATTAACCGAGCCTGTAAAAAAAGTCTGGATTGGTCGTTTTCCTCTGGACTTCGCGCAGACGTGACAGCCGCCTCGAAAGATGACCGTGTGGGGGCTCCGAAGGAGGCGGAGCCGAGCAGGAGGGGGGCGTGGCCATAAACAGAGACGCCCCTGGCTGCAGGCTCACTCCAGGGAGAGGTGGGCCACGCGTGGAAAGGTGTGCGGGAAAGAAGGGAGACCTCCCTCCAGGCTCATTTTTCATGCC